ATGATTCTATGATTCTTTAATTTTAAACTTGACATATGGTGGCTGCAACGGTTTACAGCAGTGTTGGAAGCTAGGTGCGTCCTCACAGCAAAGTTAGAAGAAATTGTACTTCAAATGGGGGTAACAGACAGAAGGATTCATGTTTATTTTTGCAGGTTAATTGTCTCTGGGAGGCTGAGCAGGCCTAACCCTTCCTCTTCTTTACTCACTGAGTTTTACTTGTAGCAGCTAAATAGGAGACGACATAAATGCATGGTTACCAAAAGAATGGAAGATAAAGATTATATTATTATTATATTTGCTACTGTATCTTTGAGCTTTAAAAGCATAGGAAAAAAAACCCAAACCTATGATGTTTTTAAAATAATATAAAAATTATCTAAAGAAGTGCTGTTTCTGAGGTGGCTTTACTAGAACATTAGTCCATCAGGTTTTTATGCATTCAAGCTTGTATAAGTAAGTTTGTCTTCATCCAAGGCTTCTCTTTTAAAAATAATTCTGAAACTTTGAACACCAAATCTTTGAAGTCCAAATCACTACTTTCAATATTTAAAAGTCAATGTAAACTAATGAAATTGCATATCTTGATTTTTTTTTTTCTTTTTTTCTATTTTAAAATAGGCCTTGATGTGAAAAGTGAAGCATGCCAGCGATTTTTTCGAGATGGGTTAACAATATCATTCACAAAAATCCTTACCGATGAGGCAGTGAGCGGATGGAAGTTTGAGATTCATGTGAGTTTTTTTAATTTTAAATTACTGTACTTTTCAGAAATAGGTGAGGAAGGAGATTGCCTTTGTGACTATGAGGAGACAGCAGAGACTGGGTCTCATTTTTGAAACTCAGCAGAGAACTGGGAGAACTCTTGTATGCATGACGTTTGTGTGTGGGGGAGTCATCCTATCTTTGCTGCATTTTATTGCCTCTGGTGGTTTTGGAAGGAAATAGAACATGAGAAGTTATATGGGCACGAACTGAACTGTGTTCAGTAGTACAGCTCTCGTTAGGCTGTCCTTGGCCAGTTATCTAGAGACCTGCTTAATTTTATGTGTATGCTAGGACATGAAAACTTGCTTTTTTTGCAGGTTGGTGAAAGCTTTTACCAAACTACTACCTTCTGGGTGTTTGTAGTAGAGTAGCTGTTTGAATATAAAAAACTACTTGTTGGACAGGTAGTCACATGTGAAATAAACTGTGAAGATATTCATAAGCAAACTAAAACCTGTAAGAGAAATGGATGAGAGAAGAAAAAGTTAACAGTTCAGTAGTGATTCATTAATATCTTGAATAACCAAAAATATTTGTATCTTTTTCCTAAATTTAAGTTTTGGCTGAAAACAGTTCCAAGTTTGTATAAAGCCTTTATTGGAGGAAGTACAAATTAAAATACAGTGTTGTAAAATTCTTATGCAACTCTGCTTGGTAGGTACAAATGGTTCAGAGTTTATAGTTCATATTCATCAGTCACCTTCCATATTCTTCGTGTGGTTTTTTTTCCTAATAGAGATGTATTATTAACAACACTCATCGACTAGTGGAACTGTGTGTGGCCAAGCTGTCCCAGGATTGGTTTCCCCTTCTTGAACTTCTTGCCATGGCCTTAAATCCTCACTGCAAATTCCATCTATACAATGGTACTCGTCCCTCAGAAACAGTTCCTGCAGGTGTCCAGCTTGCTGAAGATGAACTTTATGCCCGTCCTCCTGACCCACGATCACCAAAGGTATGAGAGCATTTTCAGACCTGTATTTTGAATTTTATGTAGCACTACCTAATCATACAATAGCCATAGAGAAGTGGTTTTAGAGGGGAAAACCAACTCCGTCATTCTCTATATCGCTAAGATGTTCTGTGGCTTTTGATTCATACAGTAAATTCTAATCGGTTAATTTTCCCCTTCTGAGTCTTCCAGTCTTTGGTTCACCTTTGTAGAATAATAGAATTGTTTGGGTTGGGAAAGGCCTTTTAAGATCCAATTGTTAACTGAACACTGCAAAGTTCACCAGTAAACCATGTCCCTGAGCCATCACATCTGCTCATTTTTTAAACGCCTGTTAAAGTGTGGTGTGTTTCTGTGATAAGCTGGCACAACTGATGGAATGCCATTCCTTTGTGTGAATGGGCCGGCTCGTGTTTGCCAGGCGGTGGATTTATTTTCTCACTCAGCATGGCTTTGTAGGTGACGTATTTTGATTATGTGATAAAATAGGAATTTTTCTCTCCCTTTTCGTATCGTTCCCAGTGAGGATAAGAAAAGGTTTTAATTGCACATGAGATGCTAGTGTCAGTGTGGTTTGTTTTTTTTTTTTTTTTTTATTGTTGGAGTGTTTTGAGGTTTTGGATTTTTTTGGAGGGGAAAGGGGGCCACGTTTTTTTTTTTATTTTTTCTTTTTCACTGGCAGTGCCAATTAGTAATCTGTTCTGTTTCTTGGGTCTGAATTTTTCAGAATTGCTCCAAGTGGCTTTGGTACAACTTCAGAAGCTATCAAATTTATATTTTTGTTGCTTTCTTCTTTTTTTCCCCCTTAGTAATAGAACTGCTAGCTGTTGATACATAAGAACTAAAGATAAATAACTTGGTGTCCCTGAACTTCCTTGAGTTGCTAACTCTGTTTAGAACAATTTTGCATTCTTACTGGTTTTATATGTAGCATTATCACATACAGGACCAGGAGAAAAATACCAGCATCATCATGCTTTCTCTAGTAACTTAGCAGTAAAGATGACCCTGAAGTATAGGACTTCTTCAAAGCAAGTTTTGTAACTAACAGATGCATGAAAGTATTTCTAGATGGTAATTTGTAAATGTCAGAAAATAACAGTGTTTTATGTTGCAGGGTTGGCTAGTAGATCTTATCAACAAGTTTGGCACATTGAATGGATTTCAGATATTACATGATCGCTTCATGAGTGGATCAGCATTGAATGTTCAGATAATTGCAGCGCTCATCAAGTAAGTCTTTTAAAAATAATAATTTACATATTTCAAAAAATTACACTAAAATACTGTGTTAATGCAGAGCGTAGTCTTTTCTGGAGGCATTTTCCACACTCCATCTCTTAACTAGTTGTGTTTACTGCTGAGTTTCTTGAATGAATTGCTCCTTACTATCTTAATATTAAGCAAATACTAAATATTCCACAACTACACTTTGATCTATTTTTTCTTTCATTTTAGGCCGTTTGGACAATGTTACGAATTTTTAACATTACATACAGTGAAGAAATATTTCCTTCCAATTATAGAAATGGTTCCACAGTTTTTAGAAAATTTAACAGATGATGAACTGAAAAAAGAAGCAAAGAATGAAGCCAAAAATGATGCTCTGTCAATGATAATCAAATCCCTAAAGAACTTAGCTTCAAGAGTTCCAGGACAAGAAGAAACTGTAAAAAACTTAGAAATATTTAGATTAAAAATGATACTTAGGTAAGATGCTACTTCTAATACCATATGCTACTTCTGACATTTTTTTCACACTTCTCACATTTAATTTCTTTTACAGGTTGTTACAAATTTCTTCTTTCAATGGTAAAATGAATGCACTAAATGAAGTTAACAAAGTAATATCCAGTGTGTCATATTATACTCATCGACATGGTAATCCTGAAGAGGAAGAATGGCTTACAGCTGAAAGAATGGCAGTAAGTTCTCTTCTTCACCAAAATACACTGTTCTTCCTCCTTATTCTTCAGTGGTAAAAGTAGCTATATATTACAGATTCTGTACATTGCTCATTTTAATGTCTAGTGTTACAACTCTACATATCATTTCATGGTAATAAGACATTTTAATAGTAGACTTTCTGGTAAGAAATTGCTGTATTTGTTTCAAAGCTGCCCTTGGTAATGGTTTTCAGTGCTATTTAAAAGATACTATGGAAAAGGGTCTTTGAGTAGTATGGTTTTTATATAAAAGGCAAAAAACCAAGCAAACAAAACCAGACCTAGATAGAACGGATGTCATTGAAATTTCAGTGCCACTGTATCTAAAAACTGAATATTCATTTAAATTAGGGTATAGTCTGTTTTTTGTGCTTCAAGTAATTTTGGCATTAAGTGACTCCTCTGCTTTTCACATTTCGGAGTCTGGATTCTTCGGTACAGAAAGTTCTAGATAACACATCTTTAATAAAATTTATTTTGTATTTACATGCTTTGACTACTGTTTCATCCTTGAGTGCACATGTAGGAGACTATTAAAATAAGCATTTATAAAGTTAAAAGTAAGGACAGTTTTCACCTTTGTGAAATTTAATTGTTGAGTGGTTTTTTTTGCACTGTTGTGCTCCATCTTTGTGACTGGCTACCTGTTGTGAGGCTTAAAATCTGCGAAAGAACTGCTGACAAAAAAAAGGATGACTGCAGTTGGACATTTTAAAGCAGTAGGAGGCGATGAGTCTTTTTTTGCATACTCCCTATAGTTTAGCATCTCAGACAGGATCTCCGTTTTTAAATTAAAACTTCTAGATTTAAGTATTTTGTGAGGCTAGCTTGAATATTGTAAGTGTATAATCAAGGACACTGTTGGAAGGTATGATGCTGTGTACATCTGTGTACTTTTTCAGTGCTCAGAGCACACACTACTTTGCCTCAGAGCAAAAAATACATGACCCTAATCTAGCTGTGTCATTGACATCACTGACAAAAAAAGTGCATCTGCTTAAATATGGCTTGATTATTTGCCTCTAATTCAATTAGAAGCATTTAAAAAACCAAACAGCCTACAAGTGGCAGTACTTTAAATAATCTGAGTTCTTTATATTTCAGTCCTTGCTTATGCCCTTTTTATGTGATATGCTGTAGGCATGCCAGTAGAGCTAGAAGTGTCTTCAGCAATTTAGTTTTGATATTTGATGACTCTGAATTGGAAGAGAAAAATTTTGTTCCTTGAATATAATTAACTGTTCTTTCTGTTGGCTTTTTGTTTGAACTTGTTTGAACACTTTATGCTTTGAGTTCATGATTTTTAATATGCCTGAGAAAGTTATTTCCCCTTAAGATGTCACAGTCACGAGCGTATTGGATTATTTTAAATGCTGCTGGGTTTTTTTTAAGAGGAAATCACAGTCTGAGATAAATACTTCCCTCTTGTGCTGCGCCTTTCTTACTTCTGTCAATTAGAATACTCTATATAAAGTCATTCATATGTAACAGGTTGAAATTTTTTCTTTTTAGCTCAATTATCAGTGACAGCGCTTCAGTAATTTGAGATGCACTACTTTCTTTTTATATTCAGGAATGGATCCAGCAGAATAATATTTTATCAATTGTGTTGAGAGATAGTCTTCATCAACCTCAATATGTAGAGAAGTTAGAGAAAATTCTTCGTTTTGTCATCAAAGAAAAAGCCCTCACTTTGCAGGATCTTGACAACATTTGGGCTGCACAGGTAAAGACTTCAACTGCTTGACTGCTGCTGCACAGAGGGATCTTCTTGTATGTCACGTATTGAGACGATGATGACTTGTGCTTCTTACACTTGATGTTAAACAAAACTAAAGAAAAAACTGAAATCAAATGGTATTCTTTTTTGGGGTCTTGGATCTCAGAATTGTCTCCTCAGATGTGTTCAGCACAAGGGATCAGCTACATGTGCATATAAAGCCTAAGGCAGTAGTTCAGAACATGGAGCGAAGATAATCCTTTTTAAATACTAGGAATCATCAATGTTGAGCAAAGTCTAGATTATGGAAGAACATGATGACAATATTGTAAAATGCATATAAGAATATATATTGCTAACCTCGGAGTTCAACACAGTTGTATATTTTTTTTCCTGGGCAGAGTGCTACTAGTAAGGCTTATGACTGCTCTAGAATTCAACAGAAAATTTCCTTTGTGTTGTAGTGATTATTTTTTAAAAACTATAAAATTTGCAGTATTGGCTTGTTTACTTAAATGATTGGTGAAGCTGAACTTAGTAGTTGTGGGCTGCATGAGTTTAGCACACATAAAAGGCAGATGAAGAGACAAAGTCATTATTGAGTAGACAGAAAATAAAAGGTCATTTTAGCATAGAAGCAAGCATGAATACAGATATCCTTGTTCACAAGCAATTTTTAGTGAAACTAACTTAATTGTACATGCAAGCCTTTAGGTCAGTCTTTCAAGTGTGGGAAGGCTAAATCTGGTTTCCCAGATAAAGGGCTGTACTGTTTTTGGCAGGGATAGAGTTAAATATCTTCATAGTAGTTTATATGGGATTAATAGGTAAAGCAAAAGATTGACCTATTAAACGCTATCTCAGCCCATGAGTTTTCTCACTTCTACCTCTCTGATTCTCTCCCCCGTTGTGCTGGGGTGTACGGTGAGTGAGCAGCCGTGTGGTGCTTAGCTGCCAGCTGGGGGTTTACCAGGACAGAGGCTAGTGCAGCAGTGGGGTAGTAACTGTTCTGAAACTGTGATAGTTGGGCTTAAATGGACTTAAGCAGGTGTCCCCATTTTCAGGCATGCTCTTTTTGGGTTGCATTTAAACCACTTGGCACTACAGGTGATGTTGTGGAGGGTTGACTTAAGCTCTCTGATGTTTCAACTAACTTCATAACCTCTCAACTTCAATTCCTGCATGATAGTAACTGCACAGGCTGAAACTCAAGGTTTGGTTGGGTTTTTGGCGTTTGTGGGTGTTTTGTTTGTGGTGGTGGTTTGGCTTTTTTTTATATTTATTTTAGTTTTTTTTTCATTATCCCTAAGTCCTGTTTAGAAAGTTATAACAGAGCAGCATACAGATTATTTAAGACATGCGATCATACTACTAGTTTCAGCTTGTAGTCTCTAGACCCTTCCAGGTGCTCTCTGTAAGAAGCCTGTGGGGAAAACGAGACTTTGAGAGGTTAGTTTGCTGTTAGTAGTCTTGTGTTAACTATATGACAGCCTCACCTTTTATAAGAAGAAAAAAAGCTGACATTTTGAAAAAAGTCTTCCAAGCAATTATATTATTCATAGTGCCTAGAAATGGGACATATGGGTAAGCTAGTTTAAGCCAAACTTTACCCTTACAGAAAACTGTGAGCAAGTGATACAGTCCTTAAAAGATAGGGGTAGTTGCAAAAAAAGTTAAGGAATGAATCTTTTATGCTTTCAAATACCAGGCTTGATCTGCTCACTTCATTTGCTTTGTTAGGTAGCTGCACACAGTGCACTTAATGTGACTTTGTGCTATATTTGTATGTGTGCGTGAAAGCTGAGCTCAGTGAGTCCTACACAGGTAGATGGCTTTACTGTGGTTTTGACCAAGGAAGGAATTAAAATAGACTAAAAAATAAGAATACTAAAATATGCTGATACAGAATAGTTTTTACCAACTTCACTACTCCCTGTGTTTAGTAGTTTTCAGATGTTGTTATTAAGTGAGTGCTTCTGAAAGCAGCTGCAGCATGAAATTCAGTAGCAAGGAGTTGACTTACTGTGTAGCTTTATATAACAGGCAGGCTATTTTAGCTCTGGCTCAGTGCAGCAACAGTGTGGCCTTGCTTTCAGGATAGAGCTGTTATGTTGCTGCTGGAGGTAGAGGGTAACCATGCACAAATTTACAGTTGACAGTAAAGAAGTGCCCTGAGAATCTCAGGATACAACCAGAATAAAAATAAGTAGTTTATGAAAGGTAATAAAATCATGCTGCCTTTGCCTTTAAAAAGCAACATAAGTTTTAAGATTTATTGAAGTGGTTTTGTATCTTACAAAGTGAGTGCTCGTGAAGTAGAAGTATGTTTGATTCAAGAAGTAATGCTGGAAGTCTCCAAAGGCAAGCATTAAGTTGCAGGCTGTTCAGTTGCAGGGAAAGATCCAGTTGGACAAGAAATAAGGTTGCAGAGATTAGTGTCTGAGTCTCATTAGTGTTAGTCTCATACTCTGGAACATTAACTAGAACATTACAGGTGTTTCCCTGTTTCCACACAGCAAACTGATAGTTTCCACACTAGGTTCCTTACTTCCTCCTACTGTCTTGTACTGCTTCCCAAGATTTTCTGTTCTTAAGGGTGTCCCTGTGTCTGTTAAAAACCTCCCAAGATGAGATGGTGATACATGCATTATTCTTACTCTTGCCCTGCCGCTGCCAGCAGCTCTGCGTGCTTGTCCTTTTGTTTGTTATATTGAAGATGCTCTCGCTGCTGTCTGGATGCTCTTAGTTTTTTTTTTTCCTCTCTCCAGGAAATGGTTGAGCAAGAGAAAAAAAATATACGAAGTTTTGCAAAATCAAGTGGAATGAGTGGTTTAGTAATTTCCCCTTTCATAATCTGGCCCATAACATAAAAGCAAATGTTACTACTTAAAATCACTTTTTTTTTTTTTAAGAAGAGAAATTTATGGCACACTGTAAAGAATTTACGTCATGGCATGTACAAAGCTATTAGTCTCATTTTCTGTTGTTTAATTGAACTACTGATGCAAGCTTTTAGAAGGAAATGAATTTCAAAACTGCTCATGCATGAGTTTTTAATACTGTACAAGATTAATTACATCAAAGTTTGTTTTACAGTTATTTTTTCACTTTTTGTATTTTTCACTTAAAGGAAATTTTTCTACAGTAAATCAACTGTTGATTCCCATAGTCCAAAACTGTTGTATCCACTAGCACAAGTATTTCAGCCTGAGAAATTATGTGGAAATACTAAAAGCTGTCTTAAAACACCTCAGTGAAATTCATTAAGGAAGTGCATTTTGAGTCCTTGCTTGAAAAACCCTCCAAAACTACATTAAATTAAAATACTGGTTTGTAAGTTAAAATACACACTCAGAGTTTATCTACTGTCCCAGCATAATTTTTTTAAAAAATAATGTGACACTGCAGTATTTATATTCTAAATAAATACTTGTGTGCAAACACACAGAGTACACTTAAATACTTACACATGCAAAGAAGATCTAGGTATTGTGACGACCCAGTGAAATAAGTATTCAGTTTGCCACACTGCCCCCTCCGCATCAGCCTGTCTTTCTTGCAACCTTAGTCTTGTAAAAATGATGTAGAATGTCTTGGTGCTTGATTTAATAGGATTGCTACAAAAGTTGGTGGATTCTTTTTGTTGTCTTGACAGGCAGGAAAACATGAAGCCATTGTAAAAAACGTACATGATCTCCTTGCAAAATTAGCTTGGGACTTCTCACCTGAACAGCTTGATCACCTCTTTGATTGTTTTAAGGTAACTGTGCACGTTTTGACTGTACTCAGGAAATAGCTGGATACAGATTTGTGACTCTTTCAACATCCATTTTCTTCTTGGTTCAGATATGGGCATTTTCTTTGTGGTTAAAAGATTCCTTAGTGTGTAACAACAGTCTGTGATATTTAATGTTAGAAATGCTAGATAGTGATACTGTTTTATGAGCGTTTATTTAGAGATTTTATTTACTTCTTGTCTAAAGCAAAGAGAAGTTACGCTAGTTTAATTGCCAGCTTTGTTCTGGTTTAAACACTTGGATAGTGCACATCTGTTGAGGACTGTAGTCTTAAAGTAACTTTTAGTAGTCCTAGGAATGTTGAGTTCTTCAAATTGAATAAGTTATTGATCTGAAGCACATTTTTGCATTTGTTTCAAATATTAAGTGTCGGTGATTTAGTAAAGAATGTTTTTCTTCTAGCATTAGAGTAGGTTTTGTCAAGTTTACTGGGCATTGCTAGTTTGGATCTTTAAGTAGAGGAGATCAAGGACTTCTGTTCCCTGCTCTCCTAACTTCCTCTTTATTGTGTAATAACTTTTCTCTGGTTAACATAGATACAGAATGAAACAGTCTCAGGAATATAATGTTGAATGTTTATAACTGTATAATGATTTGACTGAAATCACAAATCAGCCTGTTTCTGAAAGTTTGTTATTCGCTGACTTTGTACACTATTTGTAGCTTCCAGTAGTGGTGCTGTCTGACTTCTTTCACTTTTTCGCTTTTAGATGATGTGCTGTACTAGAAAATGCAAGCCAGCTTTGTAGGCTCCGTTTCCTGTTTTTAGATAAATGCATTATAGTCACATTTTGGCTTAGATGCAAAATGTGCTCTGATTAATGGGGGTCTTCTAGTTCAGTGAGTATGGGTCTGATGTTCTGTAATGCAGATAATGAACTAAATACTCAGAAATTCTGTGTGTAAGCTGTTTGCCCTTGAGAGAAAGATACAAAGTAGTGTTATGTTAGAAACTTACTCAGAAAAAGATTAATTTAATGCAGAAGATGCTTTTTCAGTCAGATCCAGGTGTAGAAATGATATTAAAATTTTACTCATTTAATGATTACAAGTTCCTTAAGAATACTTTTAAGTATAATAACTTTATATAGTTGCAACACTTTACTGTTGCCTCATTTGTTAATGGAGCAGGTTAGAACTGGAATTAAAAAAAAAAAAAAATTAATTGCTTTCATATCAAATGAAATATTTTCTTAGGCAAGTTGGACAAATGCAAGCAAGAAACAGCGCGAGAAGCTACTTGAGTTAATTCGTCGTCTTGCAGAGGATGACAAGGATGGTGTGATGGCCCATAAAGTGCTGAACCTTTTGTGGAATTTGGCCCATAGTGATGATGTACCAGTTGATATCATGGACCAGGCTCTTAGTGCCCATATTAAAATCTTAGATTACAGCTGTTCACAGGTGAGGAATTTGGTGTGTTCTGTTGTGAAATCAGTCACTGACAGTTTCCTTCTATCCCTCATGAAAAATTTAAGGGGTTTGGTAATTTAACAAAGGTGTTTCCTTGTCATAGGTTGGTAGTATTCTGCCAATATCCAAATATCCAAAATGTTACGGGGCATATGTTAAATAACATAGTTCATGCTTTAGTTGGAGAGAGTGTATTACCTCAGTTTCCTTGTCTTCTTGCAGTAGGTGACATACTGTAATGACCATATTGGAGTTGGAAAAGAGCCTTACCAAAGTAAATAGGGAGAATATAAACGCAGCCTCCCTCCTGTCTTGCTTTTTTCTGAGCTCAATAATGCGAATTGGTTTGTGGTGGTTTGTTCGTTCCTTTAGTGAGCCCTTATATTTTTTTTTTTAATATTCAAAAGGACCTAATAAAAGGTAGTGAAAACTATTACACACTCTCCTTCCCCACCAAAACTTCTGTGGAAGTCTGCCAAAATAATAATTCATTGTGGTTCAAAATTAATCCATTATTTGTCTTGACAGCCACTGGCTGCTTTTGTTTCTTAGTCATTAAGAAACAGCTTCTCATTGTTCCTCGATATTTTATAGCAGTTTGTTCTGTGTAGCAGTGAATAGAAATAAATGAAAGAAGGGAAATAGTAAATAATTTAAACACTGATGATCCTACCTAGCTATGGGTTTTCTTAGCTATGTACTGAATGCCTGAGCGCCTGAAGACGGAGCATTTGTAACACATGGACAGCTTCCACCGATGTGCAGTGCTGCTCAGGTGCTTCTCCTGTGCTCGTACGCCTCGGAACTCAGTTGATCTAGTGTTCAAAGTTTGGCTTTGTATGTTCTGTTCTGTCTTGGACACAAAGTAAGGGAATGATGATAATTCCTGCAAAATACTTGATTTTTATTATAAACACTTGTTCTTTAAGGATCGAGATACACAAAAGATCCAGTGGATAGATCGTTTTATAGAAGAGCTCCGCACAAATGATAAGTGGGTTATTCCTGCACTGAAACAAATTAGAGAAATCTGCAGTTTGTTTGGTGAAGCACCACAAAACTTGAGGTAGGAATGGAATGCAAATATAATCTTGACTGTTCAAAGCTGAATGGGTAGTAATGATGCTTTTTTTTTTTTTCTTTACAAGAAACAGGGAAAGCTCAAATAAAAACATAACCTGTATTTGAAGGTGGTGTTGAATTTGTTTAGCATGTATAAATAGCCTTTAAAAATCCAGACAGCTGTGATCAGTAGGAAAGCATCAACTGTTTCCTTACACATGCTTTTATTAATTTTTGGAACACTAGTCTGATACGTGGAAAATCTGGGTTTGTTTCTCTATTATCCATAGACTTACCTGCCTAAAGTAACAAAGTATAAATTTACCTTACAAAGTATAAATATCTTTTATGTACATAGATGTACATATGCACAGTCATACGCATACACCCCCCCATCCCTATTTTTAATGATAAATTTGTGGGTCATCTAGTTTATATACTTGGAATGAAAGATGACTTTCATTGTCTGGGAAAAAAAATATACTGATTCTTTCTTCTGAATGGGAGAACTTAGAAATGTGTTTGGTTTGTTTAATTGGTGTTTTTTTTTCCTGTTTTGGTTTGTGGGATTTGTTTTTGTTTTTATAAGGAAGAAAAAAAGGAAAAACCATTGTCTGTTCAGACTTGTTAAAATATATTTGCTTCTTTTCTTTATTTTGAATGTTTTCTCACTACAGAAATATCTGATATTTTTTGCCCCTAAAAGTTTTTTTTTTTATCCACATCAGAATCTTCACAGACTCCAGAAAACTGTTGTCGGTGTTGCATAATTGCTTTAACTCTTGTAAGCAGGTAAACTATTCAAATCAATGTTGCTGTTACAACCTGCTTACAAGAGGGATCAATGCAGGGGAAGCTGAAGAAAACAAGCTTTCTGTTCACCTAGCACTGTCTTCTTAACTGATACTGTTTTAAGATGCTGTGTTAATACTGCATTCCTGTTTTTTGGAGGTTTCTTTATTAATTTAGTTTGCAGCATCTTCCTCAATTTTCATGATATCTTAATCCTTTACAGTTGCGTAATGATGATTGTTTGAGGGTTTTCCAACAAAGTTAACTTGCTTATTAACAGATAAGTCTGTTTTCTATGTCTTGGAGACCTTTAACATACTGGAAGATCTAGGAAATTGTAGTGCATGCATCCAGTACCTGTTCTATCAGCTTATGTTGTCTGACTTAAAACTTTAACCTTAATGTCCTTCTAGAATTGGGATCAAAAATAGATCAAACCAGATGTTTGTGACAGCTGCTCCAAAAACATTTCACAGACTTTTCTGTGTGCAACATTGATTCCCATAATCTACATACTGCCCTTTTGGGTTGGTTTAGTTGATTGGCACTAGCAATTAAAAGTTTGTTCCAGAACAGCTAAGGCTACTGATTCTTAGCAAAACAAGTATAAATTATCTTTTGCCACTGGTATAGTAGACATCCTTTTGCGGAGGAGGATATAATTTTTGCTAGTTATTCATGCAGTTGAGCAAAGTGATAAATTTGTTATACAATTGCTTTGGCAAAAATTAATTTCCTGACCACAAAGAAATGCTGTGTGTTAGCTGAACCAGAATTTCGACAGCATGAGAAGATAATTCTTTTTTAGGTTCAAGGATTCTTATGAGTGCAAAGATACTTATTAATATTAAGGAATAATCAAGTTTATTACTCAACATACTGACCTTTAGTGTGCAGAAAATGAATCATTTTAATTTTTTTTGTCTTGGCTGATGGAGGTAGAGCGTCCTACAGACCAATTTCAAGCACTTAAGTTTTACCTGTGTCTACTCAAGCAGTACAAGATTGGTCTCCTAAATTATTTGCCCAGAACAACTGACTGAGCATTCAGAGACATTCTGTAAGAGTTTAAGGGTTTCGTTAGTGCTTTAAGGCAACAATAATGCCAACTTTAAGTCTCTTTTTAGCATAAATAGTAGAAGTTTCTGCATTTGTCATTGCTCTATGGATCTTTAATGTCTGTTTTTAATGGTATGTAGTATTTGTCTAGTAGAACTAAACTTTAAAAGCTCAGGTACACACATATGCAGTATTATGTTGGGGAAGTTGTGTACAGACATTTTCTTTAAAAAATCCATTTAAGTTATTTGGAATTTTGCCTTTGTCACTTTGCCGGTATTTTTTTTCTAGCAAACATACATTCTGACCGTGAAATGTCTTTATTTCCAAAGGACTTTGGCATCCATTTCAAAATACTAGTTTTTCTTCTGTATAAGAACTGTTCTGTTGATATCCATTTAGTAGAAACACAATGAAAAGATCAATTTTCCGTAAACATCAATTTTTAATGCTTCTTAGTTATTATTAAAAAACATCCAAATGGCAACATCATCATATAGCCTAATCTCAGATGCTTAAAGAATAATTCTGTAGCTGAATGTGGAGTTTGCTTTAATTCTAGAAAGCATGCTAGGAAGTCTTACTAGCGTTTTTTCTGTACCTAAAGACAATTGTCTTGCCTTTGACTCCATCCTAGCAAATGATCAAGATAATATCTTAAATATTGTTCACAAATCAGATATATACTACGTAACATGTGTATCACAGATAAATACTACATAACTCAAACCTTACAGCTTGTAACTCGAGTTCCTACAATTACTCAACTCTTAGAATTGCTAACCAAGATGAATCCATGTGTCCAAATTTACTGTTTATCTATATGGTTGAGGAGGAGAAAGGAGAAATGTAAAATCTAGTGCAGATGTGTTTAGTCTTCTGCCAATAAAGCTTTTTTTTGCTGTATTTTGTAAGATTGATACAAATGCATAGTATTATGAGTATGTAAATAGACACTCAAATAGCTTGCTTCTGCAAAATTCCAGATCGTGCTTCTGTGTGTTTTAGATGTTTTATCATATGTATTTCCAATATAGTCAGTGTTCTTATTTACCGTTACCTGTCGTAAATGCATCTCTATCTAGAGGTAACATATTGGGTAAAATAGAGACATCAAGATTTTTGCTGTTCCTGTTGCTGGTTTATTCTGAGCAAGGAGAATTTGTGGAGGGTGGAATAAGTGGAGTTGTAAAGTTTCTCAAAGTGAAAACAGGGAATGTTTTTTCTAGGTATATGAAGTCCTGTATGTTTTCTTTCTTCATACTTCCATCCATTTTGTTTTCTATCAGACAAATGTCTGGGTCTCTTTTTTTTTTTTTTTTTTTTTTTTTAGCACAATTTGTGTTTTAAATGCCTCATTCAAGCTGTTTTTGAAAACTCTGCATGTTATGAAATCTTCTGACCTTTGACCTCTGTGCTTAGCAGGTCAAATTTTATTGGTTGCAGATAAAATTATTGGAAGGGTGTTGATGGCTTCTGTCTTTTAAACCCAGATTGACAGTGATATTTGGCCCAATGAATCAATTTCTGTTGTTACATCTGCAGTGAAATGCGGTTATCAGCTGCAAGATCATCATCAGCTGATGCTGGAACTGGGATTTCTTGCCTTCCCTACTGTTCTCAAAAGGTGTGGCAATCCAAAATAGAGTGCTGTAGGTTGTGTAGTATGGAGACCCTGTTTCATAGGAAGGCTGAGAATTCCTGCCTGTAATCTGTTCAGCTAATTCTGAGGTCTACTTTTGTAAGTGAGGGAACGGAGAACAGATCTGAAATCACAGTGGTTTTACTGCAGGGCAGGCCATGGGTTCAGCTGAGTGGCAGTACAGGGAGGAAACTCCTCTTTCCCAGCCCCTGCCTCGGTGGTTTTGGTTTTTTTTTGCCTCTCTTTACCACGTAGGAGCAGCGCAAGTGTGCTCTGATCTACAAAAGTCGAGGCATTTTGAGACTGTTATGCAGAGGTGCTCAGTCCCTAAGGTCTAGAATTTGGTAGTGCTCATGGCCTGTGGCTTTTGCACACAAGCTCTGTATTTTCTCTTGCAATTTACTTTTCTAATCTAAATATCTTTAGTGTTGTTTAAGAGCAGCATTTTTGGTCAGCTCTTGAGAATATACTTAAATTATCATCTAATTATTTACTTGAGGCATGTATTTTCTTGAACTTTTCTATTTTTTCTTAGGCTATATGCTCTGTATAACTTTTTTTCAGATATTGTTAGAAAAAACAAAATGCAGAGTTGTGCAGGTTTTTTTTTAAGTATGGAAAGAGTCGGTGTGATTATTTGCTTTAGTGTTTTTTCACTACAGTTTTAAGGCTATGAGTTTTTGTTTTGAAAATTGACCTAGTTTTGCTTATTGTTTTAATAAATTTAGAAAAGAATATTAGATGGATATGGAAGAAACTGTGGTTGTGCATATTATACAGTATAACTGTACTTACAGTTGAGGGTCTCTGTCTTTGCTGTGCAGTTTGTGGAAAGGTATATCTATTCCTGTCTTGCTGCAGATATTCTCCCTCCAGCATACCGAGCTGCTCAGTACGTATGAAAAATATTAAAGCAATCTGTAACTGTATAATCTTCATAAATTAACTGCTTTTAATAAGTGGTGTGAACTGATGATATGTCAGAAGAAAAAAAGGAAAATATTGTTGTGGACTTAATATGCTTTCTATTTGATATCTTCTAGGAGAATCTGAAACGTGGATCAGAGATGAGTTCCTTAAATTGATTTCTGAACTGCTAGGTGCAAAACTCCTCCACTTTTCTTATAACACTTGTATTTTGATTTCAGTCAAACTCAGAGAAGTCCCCATGTGTTTTATCGACACGACTTAATCAATCAACTTCAGCACAATCATGCCCTAGTTACATTGGTTGCAGAAAATCTCTCTGCCTATATGGAAAGCATGAGGCAGTATGCTAAAGGTAAGTTTTAGAATAAAAATTGCCTCATAAATAGAGTATTAAAACTCCAGATAAAAATGAAGTTAAAGGCAAATTCTTAGAATGAAATAACTATTTAGTTTATTGTTTAAGTTTTTTGCATCTATGGGCTTGATAGCCTTTGTGGTGTCGGGTTGGGTAAGAAAAGCTTAAAAATGTAGACATTTTGATTCAGAATTGAGAGCATGATGTGTTCTACAGCAGAATATGGGGAAGTGGCAGCTCTTATTTATCTGTGGATTGATAAACATCATCTTGCCCTACTTAAGCTGAGGATTGTTCTTTTTATGGCAAATCATAATAATAAGCTTGGATTTTGTCCCACTTGTAATTTTGAATTTTTGTAGGCTCCTTTGAGAAGTTGTTTAATCACCTCTATTTGGAAACAGGGTTTGGAATTAGTCAGGGAGAAGGACTTTAAACTGTAGGGATGCAGTTTCTTTTTACTCTGCAACTCACATTTCTGTTTAGTTGGTTTCTTACTGCATTTGTTATCAGCGACACTTTGGCAGCACATGATGTTAGTATTTAAAAGTTTGGAGTAAAGGATACCCAAAACAGATCCTTGAACACTTGTTTGAATAGTGGTGCCATATGGAGATGAATGCTTCACCCAGGTGTAGGTCAATGAGAATGACATTTAAGCTGAATAAGCATACTGCAGCTATATTTCTCTATTAAGGAATACGTAGGCATGGTTACCCTAATTTATGTTCCTTAATTAATGACAGCATTGCACTGATTTAATGTTAAAATAATACTAAATGCTTTGTCCTGTTTTCAAGCCATACTGTTGTAGACTTAACCTTCTCTAGGAAGGTGAAATAGACCAATGAGTATTTCACGTAACCTCTGTAAGCTGTTGGTGCTCTTCAACTTTGCTAAAGAGATGTAAAAATGCAATTTAATTTGCAACAGACTTTGCATCTTAACCATACGGATAGCTTAGAATGTATG